CACGTATACAGAGAGGAGGGCAACATATAAGTATTTCACCTGTTGCAACAAACACTTGAGTGCCACAAATTTCACATCGTAGCTTTCAAAAGAAAGATATGTATAGTAAATAATGTAAAGTGACCAGATTTTCAGATTGGTAAAGAGGGACACCTTTGACCGGGGCGGGGGGGGGAGGGCTTGATTAAAATTTTTATACGGAGCAACAAAAATTTTAATATAACGCAAAAATAGTATTGTAATTTTTTTTATTTCAACATAACTACAATTTACAAATATAAATTGTAACTCTTGCCAAACATCAACATTTTGATCACGTGACCATGAAGATGCTGCAACGGTCGCTAAGTGTGAAAATGGTCNCAAATTTTACAAGTTGGCTATGCCCACCCAGTCACATGACTGCCAAGCCACTCCCACTCAGTCACATGGCCAGCAAGCCACTCCCACAAAGCAGGCCACACCCACAAAAGCGGTTCTAAAAAATTTTGAAACCTACTACTGAATTACACCGATCACTGAAGTAAGCGGCATGAATTTTATTCTGCATTTCTCTTGTTTTTCAGCCTATTCAACAAAGCAGAATAAATTCCCCATCATCAATTTTTACGATGACCTGAAATACCTTTGTATCAGTTCAGGGGTTTGAATCCCTAGCACCACGTGAGTGAGCTCTCATTACTTGCTTCTGCCAGTCTGGCAGCTTCTGTCAATCTAGCAGTTCGAAAGCATGTAAAAATGCAAGTAGAAAAACAGGGCCCTCTTTGGTGGTAAGGTAACAGTGTTCTGTGCACCTTTGGCATTTATTCATGCCAACCACATGACCACAGAGATGTCTTTGGACAGCGCTGGCTCTTCGGCTTTGAAATGGAGATGAGCACCGCCCCCCCTAGAGTCAGGAACTGGGCACCGCCCCCTAGAGTCGGGAACTACTAGCACATATGTGCAAGGGGAACCTTTACCTTTATACCAATTTATTCATTTCCAGTGTTTTTCCGAGATCAATTTAAAGTGGTGATCTTAATCATCTAAACTCAAGGTGAGAGACTCTTTATAACTAGTGGACTTTAACTCCCAGAATGCCTGAGCCAGCATGGCTGCCTCAAGAATTCTGGGAGTTGAAGTCCATGTCATAAAAGGGCCATGGTTCCCCACCCCTGGTCCAAAAGTAGACTTAAACTATATTTTTTTCTCATCCTGCTGATTTTAGAATGTTGGACTTTGGCTTCTGTAACTCTGAGCTAAGATAATCCGTGGTCATGTTCAACAGAAATTCAGAGTACTTTTGGTTTGTGTGAGTGGGATATCTCCTGGTTACAGAAGATTAATCCAGGTAAAGACCAGTATATATTTTTTAAAATAGAATTTATTTTTATTTTCAAAACAAACATAACACATAAAATCTTCCTTCTTTACATACTGTAGAAAGTGTATCAGTTGGTTACAAAAGGTTTTCGTGCATCTTTTCCACAGTCATCAAGCATAATTCATATTAACTCAAGTATTTTAACTCAAATACTTATACATGTTACCCTTATACCTCCATTTTTATTTGACTATAATTATTTAAACACCCTTCATCATAAAATACACCAATATTTAATACATAACCACATACTGGCATTTCATTAAAGACCAGTATATTTTGAGGATTATCTTCTAATCTATTCATGTAGTCTGCTCAATATTTCACCATCTAAAGTACAGCAAATAGGAATGTAAGATAAGCTTTTTCAAATGTGCAGCACAGTATCTAGAATTTTTTTCTAGAAGATTGTTTGACTCATCTCAAAATAATATTTTCTCTACTCAGCCAGTCATAGCTGTTATTGTAGGAGATAACAAATGAAGCTATTGTTTGACCCAGATTGCTTCCTCTTTATTAAGTCAAAGAAATGGGGGAAAATTAAAGATAGTGAAGAGTAAAAGAAAAATTAAGGATAAAGAGACATACACAAGAAAATGTTTATGAAACTAGTAATCTGTCATAAATACATTGAATAGACATATGAAATCTATAGAGTCCTTGGTAGTTCCTGAGCGTGGTTGTTTACTTGCAGACATTTCAATGCCCGAGATAATAGGTAATATCATCAGTGCAAATGAGCATGGGGTTTACACATTGTTTATATACTGTAGCTTGTCCTACTAATGTTGGTGCTGATATGGTTTCATTAGGGTACTATTTTTTCTTTGATTATTTGTCTGGTGTTAATCCCTGCTTATCTAGGTGTTGGCTGCTGAAGAATGCCAAGGACTCTGGAGTTCAATCCTGACCTTTATGTATTCTCCTATATTATAAAATATAACCCATATATGAATATAAATACAGATTTTAAATATAATCTTATAACATAACACAACACAACACAACACAACATAACAATATATTTTTGTGTTCTCCTTCATGTCCCTTCAGGACAGTTTTGAGTTGGGGACTTTTGGGAGCTACTTGGACAGATGGAAAATCAAAACCTTCCTGTGCAGCCACAGAAGTGAGTGTGCAGTTCTCACACTTTTCCAGAAAACAACCTATTTATTTATATGGCTGCCCATCTCATGGAAAATGACTCTGAGCAGCATAGAACCATCTATTAAACCTATTTATAATAAAGCAGCAGCCGCCTCTTCTACAGTGGCATGCATAAAGTTTAAGCTCTACGCATTTCTCTTATAATTATGAAGAGGCATATGATGCTACATGCGTTAGAAATAAATCACTGGATGTCCTCAAAACAGCAACCAAATTATGATAAACATCAACCCCGATCTATTTCAGAAACGTAAAGGACTGATTAAAAACTGCCTCAGAACCTGTCAGCATTCTGCAAAATGTGTGTTTTGTTCCAATCATCAAATAATCTTACCAAAGGATTTCAACGTTTCAAACTACTGCTATTCAGATCTGGCTCTCCGACTCCCCTTAGCCCCTTTTGTCACAATATGTCTGGTGCTGAGCCCGTGTCTCCTTGCAGCTTAATAAAGTCTGACGTGCAGATGTGAGAGAAGATAGCTGAAATTAATCTTGCGATGAAGGGGTCGCGAAGAAAAGGTCCCTAGCAACTTTCTCTGTATCAAAGGCAGTGTCATTTAAGCTTTCCTCCTGGTTTTGCCAGGCCTTTATTGTAACCCGTTTAGAATTTTCTTTTTAATTATGAGTTTTGTAGAGGCAGTAAGATGATCTGAATAGAAAAGCAGGAAAAGACAGGCAACCATCGCAATATAAAATCCATGCAAATATGTATGTATATTTGTGGTGGATATGTATTTGTATGTATGTGTGTGTGTTTTCCAAATCAAGTCACATAATATATGATATCAAGTACACTTGCAAGTTTACAGCTGACATGTGATTCTGTGAAAATAACAAATAACATCAGCTGCACGGTTACATAATATTTATGCAATAAGCTAATAATTATCAGGTTACAGCAGGTGTCAAGAGGATGCATAATCCTTTCCTGACTCAGACAGGAAATAAAATTCCTCCTTGAATATGATATTTAAACAAGCACAGAGTGGAATTTTCCTTAAGGCCATTGCAAGCTTTGGAATTTTTCTGAGATCCAGAAAGAGGAGAATGAACTTCCTCCTTTGTCCTGCTGAAGATGTTCTCATACAATTCCTGCCATTATTACATTTTAAAGAAATTGCCAATTTAATGCATAGATGGATAGTTATACCTTGTGCCTATTTGGTGCTCTGTGTACCACAAAGAAGCCAGAAAAAATGCCATGTGGAACAAAGATGACTAAAGCCATTGTTATTGATGAATGATTTTATTTTATTTTTAACGATCACATTGAATTTGTAGTGTTATTACATTAAGAATATTTTGGTATAAGAGGAAGAAAAGTAAGTTAAGTAAAGAAAATGAAGCAATTTAAATATAAAAAAATCTATGTTAACAAAAGGGGTGGTAGTTGAAAAATAGAAGAATCCTATGTATCAAATATATAATAGTCGGGGTTAAGAAGGTCCATCGGTCTGAGTATTTGGTTGTTTATCAAACTGAAAACTGCCCATCAGTCATAGTGTGAGACCTTGGTAATGGCTTGCTACAAATCTCATACATTTGGTGTTTGAGAATGCAAAAGCAGACAAAATGGAATAGCAGTCTGTAGGAACTACTAGACGTGTTATCTTGAGTTCAAATTTGAGTGGATATGTACCAATACGAATACAATAGGCTTGCAAATGTAGGAGTACAGCTGGCTCCATTTTTAGTGGTGGTGGGGGAAACCAAGATAGCAATAGCACTTAAGACTTATGTACCACTTCACAGTGCTTTACAGCCCTCTCTGAGCAGTTTACAGAGTCAGCATATTGCCCCCAACAATCTAGCCGCTTGAATCAACAAATACCAGAGACTAAGACTTTGTTTTTTATGTGAGTGACATAGCTGGCATGCCATCCATTATGGCAACGAAAGACATTTCCTGTAACCAATGCAGAATGAAAGATGATACCTTTACAGGTAGTCCTCAACTCACAACAGTTTGCTTAGCGGTCATTCGAAGTTACAACAATGAAAAAACTGGCTTGTGGTCGTTTTTCACACTTATGACTGTTGTAGTGTCTCTGTAGTCACGTGAGTTACATTCGGATGGTTGACAACTGACTCACATTTATGACGGTTACAGTGTCCTGGTGTCATGCGATCATCTTTTGCAACAAGCAAAGTCAATGGAGAAGCCAGATTCACTTAACAGCCATGTAACTAATTTAACAACTGCAGTGATTCAATTAACAAATGTGGTCAGAACAGTCATAAAATGAGGCAAAATTGACTTAACCACTTTGTCAATTAACAACATAAATTTGGGGCTCAATTTATTATGCTTTTCCTAAGACAATGAAAAGTATTAGATTTGCCCCAAAATTGAGGAGGAGGAGAAGGAGAAGCAAGTAACTGGCTTGTTTGTCAGAAATACAATATATTTGTGGAAGTTTCAACCCAATCCAAAATGAGTACCTCAAACAAAAGTATAGGGAAGGAAATAACCCATGAAATTTAATTTATATCTTCTCGATCCTTATGACCCAGATTCCAGCAGTGAAACTCAATGAACTCCTGGAGGATTTCTATGTCAATGTGAAGAAAACAGATGGTTCTTATTTTCTGGCCACATCACTTCATGCCATCCGTCAGGGATTAGACCGAATAGTGAAGAACGCTGGCATTGGTTTCTCCATCACAAGTGGAAGCTTCAACTCATCTACCAAGAAATTCAAGGAGAAGCTGAAGGTGCTAAGCAAGGCTGGGATGTCAGGTGCTCGCTCTTGCAACATCGTCTACTTCTCCCTTTCTGGTGAAGAAGAGATGTGGAGAATTGGGTGCTTTGGGGATGGAAGTCCACTAGCTTTACTATCCACTGTTGTAAAATATAACAGCCAGTTCCTGAATATGAGAATGTTGCAGGAACATGCTGACTTAATGTATGGTGACATTGAATTCCTGAAGGATTCACAGAATTGGCCTTTTTTTGCCCGGACAGATAATGCAAAAAGAGAAAAAGGAATGGGCTTGAGTCAAGTGTGTCATAGCCAAATATACCACGAGCATGCCAAAGGGCAGAGGCGGTGTCCCTACTGCCTCTTATACAAGTACATGTATATCCATCATCCACAGTCAACCAGATCTCCTTTCTGCCTCATTGCTCGGAAGGACACCGCAGCTATGGACAATATTTGGTATGAAGAACAGAGGATGGGATTGCGCTCGCTAAGAGGGATTATCCCCAAACTAGCAAAAAAGATCAAACTTGATCAGTAGGAAAACTTCACTTTTGTCTCCTTCACGCAGGTCTCCCGCAAGCTTGGTTCGCTTAACTCTTACCAGTAATGGTTGAGCTAAATTATGGTTGAGAGCAGTGGTGGCGCAGTGGTTAGAATGCAGCAATGCAGGCTAATTCGGCCAACTGTAAGCAGTTCGATTCTCACCAGCTCAAAGTTTACTCGGACTTCTATCCTTCCAAGGTGGGTAAAATCAGGACCCAGATTGTTGGGGGCAATATGCTAACTCTGGAAACTGCTTAGAGAGGGCTGTAAAGTACTGTGAAGTGGTATATAAACCCAAGTGCTATTGTTATTGCTAAATATGAATTTCATGACAATAATCTGTAGCATTTCCACATGCTGGATGGTTATGACTAAGTAGTTCAGTGGGGAAAAGAATTGAATCTCCTCATTTTGATCCATCTAAAGGTCATCCTGAAGCCATCTTTTCTATACTATAGGAAGACCCCTCCAGATGGTACTGCAATGACTTTCCTCTTGATATAACTAGGATCAAGATTACAACAGAAATAAGGGCTTACAGGTAGTCCTTGATTTACGACTATAAGGTAGTCTTCGACTTACGAACCAGACCATCATGGTCATAAGTTGGGATGATCATAAAATGAGTCACCCACATGACTCCGATTCTACAAAAAAAATTTAAGTTATTGTTTAGCAACTGCTGCAGTAACTAAATGAATCAATGGTTCACTAGGGGCCAGTTTTGCTGAAAACCAGAAATAAATGCTAGTTTTCAGCAAAAATGTTTTAAAACATGCTCATGTGACCATGGGATGCTGCAAATGGCTGTAAATGTGGATCAGTTACCAAGTACCTGAAGTGCAATCACTTGACCGTGGGGCGGGGGAGGAATGGCCATAGGAACTTCAGAACTGGGTTTTGTTTTGTTTTGTTTTGTTTTAAATTATTTTTATTTTTTATTACACATTTTTTATTTTTTATTTTTTTTACTACGGTTGTTTTAACATCTACATCTTCAAATAATATTTACCATCTCAGATATTTCCTCTAATGTAACTAAAGGTCTCATTTTCCTTCTACAATATATATTCAGTTAACATTAGCATTATTTTTCCCCAGAAAGTATACTTCTATTCATTGTTAACCTTGCATTTCATACCTTCAAACAGAGATCTTATTCCTTCATTTTTCAACAAAACATCGCTGCCTATATATACCAGTTTTCATTTGTTCCCCTATTAGAATTGCTTATCAGCAATTCAGGAGTGCCTGAATTTCTAAATCTCATCTCGCTTCAAGCAAGCTGCGTGGACTTCTAAAACCCTCTAAGAAGCATAATAATTTTCACTTGATGCTCCAGAGCTCAATTTCTTTAAAAATACTATTTTCCCCCTTCACCCACAAATAACCACCTGCACAAGCACTCCAGGGACAGAGGTAATAATGTCATTTGTCTGGATTGCACCTCTCTGGTTTAATCATGGATTTTCCCAAAGCCTATTTTAAGT